GCGGCAGAATCCTTAATGTCCTGGTCCACTGCAGTGCCAAAGTACTTTCCAGAAGCCTTGGCCATGTCGTGCAAGCCGCTTGTGCCGGTGTAGGTCGACTTGGTGATGTCACCGCTTGCGACAGCAAGGGAGCTTGCTCCGATAGCGAGAAGAAGAGAGAGATTCATTGTCGCTCCGTACTGCTGGGGCTTCCACTCAAGCTGAGTCTTGACGTGGTAAAATGAAAAGTGGATCGACGCGAACCTGTTCAGCTTGAGAACCGAATAACGTGATCTTGGGATAGGATGACCAGCACATGACTTTGCTGATACCTGACTTTAAAGTCTCTCTTTTACTGTTCGACAGGTGGGTGTTGTTGGGTCAGGCCTGTTCTCAGCGATTAAGTTAACCGGAGTGGACGCCTATGGAAGGCGCCGCATGAACATGTAACGTAGTAGGAGTGGCGCTCATGTGCGGCAGCAGTCCACGACGCGGAATCCGCAAGGAGCCACATGATTCCTATGAATTGTTGCATGCACAGTAATCGTACCATAATCACCCATTCTTAGTTCAGAACTCCATAAAAAATACTTAATTATATCTTGACGTACTATATATTATAGAGGGTAAACTAGCTTAAATGCTTTAATTAGACTTATGTAGTTTAAGATTATACCAACTATTGAAGGTGATTATTCCGAGCTGAGCCGTTTGTTTCTAGCAATTTCGTTGTGGAATCGTCTCAGACGCATCTTGGAGTCGGGTTTCGTATTGACCGCGAGTGAACAAAGGTTTCCTGGGAAAGATAGCACGCAAGTGCATGCACCACGCTGCGAGTGACTCTCTGAGTTCGTTCGGTGCTGATGCGTAAAACCTTGCATTTTTGTTGCGGAGAAATACTAACTGGCGGCCAGTACCAGACAAGCTGAAGTTTTCGAACTTCTCCGTAAAAACACTATCAAGGAAAAGATCGGTACAAATACTGTGTTCCGTGCTTCCGTATGGTACCCCAGGATACATCTACAAAGCGGAATTAATCTATTCTAGTAGATTCGGTGAGTGACGAAGGAAACAAGCGAGTCCTTTTGTACCATGGTATTGAAAATCCGAAGCGAATTTGCTCAGGTTACAGTTTAACGTGGTCTGCGCGATGTTGTCATCATTATAACGTTTTTATTCTCTGCTACTTATTGTAGTACTGTGAAAGCATTCGTTAAGGGCAGCAAACTACGACTTTGCATCAGTGAAACTGATTTTGAAGAGCAAAGAAAAACACGACAACACTATGAGGATAACGAAGAACTATTCATTAAC